AGCATTAGAATTAAGTTTCTTTATTAACTATTTAATGCTCCTATAACTTTTATTAGGGTAAAAAAAAAACAGGAGGACATGATATTTACTATTTTTACACACCAGAGGCTTTCAAATGAATTGTGAATCTAAAATATTCGTGTTAGAGAATGTACAAATCGTTAACATTGTTTGTGTCATATCAGTCAGAAAAGCAGTTCTGGGCTATTTTTGTTTGTTTTGTTTTAGCTAACTTAGTTGTTGTTCTTGGCTGAATAACTCTAGGTTTTCAAAACCCCTTTAAAATTAAATATGTACACAGTTTGGATTAAATGAGAGTATAGTCAAATTTTTTAAGCAAAACGTGATTCATTCTTCTCTCTGAAAGCCGAGACGCTCCAGGACACTCTCGATAGATGACGGCAGTGTAAACAGTATCTGGGTCTGTTTTTATAGAGGGAGGGTTTGTGTTGTGTTGTATTATTACGTTTTTTTGTACCAAAAACAGTCAATATTTATTTTTTTGTGATCCATCTTCCATCCTCCTCCCACAGTCTGTTAGTGAATCCATACTGCACACTAAACTGGAAATACGATCTGCCGATCTCTGATCTGAGTGGATGATTTTATGCGATTTTTCTGGAGTAAGAGCGCGCAAATTATTTTTTATTAGTCTGTGTGGAAATAAAGTAGTGCTTACAAGGAACCGGGTCGATAGGCTACTCTGAACACTTTCGAGGATAAAAAGCACTGGATCTGTTTGCGAGGTTATGACATCAATCTGAGGGACCTAACAGCAAGCGTACTAGATATCCATGAGCAGAACTGCATGTATAATTAGTACATATAACTTCAGGATGGACTGAAATTCACAAGTCTACAATCATTCACAAATATATAAAAATAAATATATACATAAAATTTTAAACTAAAATACAATTCAAAAAGTTTTAAAATGTATTAAATGTGATAAAATCACTCTGACAGAAGGCTTGTTGGGGGCGCTTATTGTCAGTTTTGTAGCTTTTTGTAGATGATTAAATATATTATTGCCAGTCACAGTATGCAGTATAATATTTATTTAATTATTTTGTATTTTTTAATGATGATTTTAAAATGATTTCATTGAATTTTTATTACATGTATTTTATTTACTTTATATTTCATTTTATTTATTTTTTAAATTATTTACTTAAAATGTTTCATGTATGTATTTTATTTAAAATTATTTAATATATTTTTTTTAATTGATTTTATTTCAAATGTATCACGTATTTATTTTATTTATATTTTATATTTAATTTTTTTATTTATTGAAAAAAAGTTTT